GCCCAGGGTTTGAACCTAGGCTCTGTGGCACTCTTGCTTGGCTTTCTCCGCTAGCACTCTAGCACTTGAGCCACAGTTCAACTTCCAGCTATTTAGTGGTTAATTGGAAGATGAGAGTCTCACTGGCTGTCCTGGCCTGGCTCACTTCAAACAGTTATCCTCCTGAGTAGCTAGGATTACAGGCATGAGTCACCAGGCCCTGCTCTGTGAAATACATTTCCATAATGCTGTTAACTAGAGAAAGGGAGTCTGATCAGAGAGACAATTAGCCAGGGCAGAGGTGAGGGGCTCTGGATTTTCCCATCAAGCTGTTTCCACTGGGGATCCTCAGGTGGGCCATCCTGATGCCAAAAAGGTGCTAGGCAAGATGGCCAGAATGACCCGGGCCAGGCAGGATCTGGGGTAGAGGAGGCCAGAGTAGAGGAGTCTCTGAGGGACAAGCTGGGAGGGGAAATGGGGCTGGAAGATGTGGCCTTGGCTCCTTCCTGTGCCAACTGTGAGTGGTCCAACAGCAAACGGCCAGGCTGAAGGGTAAGGTGGGAATGGGGAAGGGTGGGGGTGGGGGAGGGGAGGCGATGTCCCAAGGTCATTGGAAATCTAGTGGGAAACTGAGGGCAGGAGGTGTAGGGCTCAGATCTATGATATCTTTTTGTTTGTTTGTTTTTCCTTTTTCTTTTTTTCCAGTCCTGGGGCTTGAACTCAATGCCTGGGTACTGTCCCTGAGCTTTCATGCTCAAGGCTAGCATTTTACCACTTGAGCCACTTCTGGCTTTCTTTTGGGTGATTAATTGGAGATAAAGTCCCACAGATGTTCTTGGCTGGGCTGGCTTTGAAATGTGATCCTCAGATCTCAGCCTCCTGAGTAGCTAGAATTATAGGTGTGAGCCACCAGCACCTGTTTAGTGGCAGCTTTATTGTGTGTGTATGTGTGTGTGTGTGTGTGTGCCAGTCCTGGGCCTTGAACTCAGGGCCTGGATGTTTGCTGTCCCTGTGCATTTTTGCTCAAGGCTAGCACTCTACCACTTGAGTCACAGCTTCATTTCTGGATTTTGGTGGTTGACTGGAGATAAGACTCTCACTGACTGGAGGCTGGGAAGGTAGCTCAGTGATAGAGCGCTTGCCTTGCATGCATGAGGCCTGGGTTCCATTCCTCAGCACCACATAAGCAACAAGAAAAAAGTCAGAAGTTGGGCTGTGGCTCAAGTGGTAGAGCGCTAGCCTTGAGCTGAAGAGCTGAGGGACAGTGCTCAGACCCAGAGTTCAGGCCCGCGACTGGACCCAAGAGGAAAAACAAAAAATCTCACTGACATTCTTGCCCAGGCCAGTTTTGAACTGTAATCTTCAGCAATCAGTTCCTAGGATTAAGGACCCGAGCCACTAAGCCTAGCTGAGGACAGATTTAATGGGACAATAACCCTACTTCGGTGATTTGTCATGCATATGTATGCAAGCAAGATCTTGGTCAGTGTTCTAATTCTAGAACATTCAGTCATCTCAAAAGGAAGCACCATTGCCATGAGTAGGCACTTTCCCCTCCCCAGCTCCTGGCCCTCGCAAGTCCACTTCCTGTTGCGTCTCTAGACATTTTCTATCAGTGGAGACAAACACTATGTGGCCTTTTGAGTCAGCTTCTCTCCCTGAGCAAGGCAGCCTGAGGGTCCTTCCAACTGACAGTGTAGCAGAGCCTCATCCTGCTCATGATTGCAGCCTGTTCCCTGTTTCTTTTGTGGTGATGGATGGATCTAGACCAAAATACTCAGGATGGTTACATCGCAAGGTAAATACACTAAAAAAACAAACAAACAATGACTTATTGTTGTTGATAGTGATGATGGTAGTCGTGGGGCTTGAACTCTGGGCCTGGGCAGTGTCCCTGAGCTCTTCAGCTCAAGGCTAGTGCTCTACCACTTGAGCCACAGCGCCACTTCCGGTTTTCTGAGTGGTTTATTGGAGACAAGAGTCTCACAGATTTTCCTGCCTGGGCTGGCTTTGAACCAGGATCCTCAGATCTCAGCCTCCTGAGTAGCTAGGGCTACGGGTGTGAGCCACCAGTGCCCAGCAGAGAGAATCTAGTTTCGGTGCCTCAGTTGCCCCTTTTGTGCAAGTGGTTCATGAGCAGGTCCTGCTTCTCAGAACTGTACTGGGCGCTGAGCAGACCCTGTGTGGCACTTGCCATACTCAACTGCCCTGCTCAGCTCTAAAGCCACCCCTGGCTTCCTCCTGCCACCGCTGACAGCCAGGCTTTTCGGCTGGGCCATGAGCCTATCAGGTCCACCCACCTCACCCCCCCTCCTGGAGAACTGAAAGGAAAGAGCAGCCCTCATGGGATCCTGCTGCTTCCCATTCTCTCCCTAGGGCCCCAGTGTCAGGAAACCCTGGGAGGCCCCCTCCCCCACCACCCTAGGAATGGGGGGGGGTGGAGGGATTGCTACATTCTCCTCTTCCCCCACTTCTTCTGAGGCCGTTTGTGGCCTCTTACACCACCAACATTCCCAACAGCTGCCCAGGCTGCTGTGACACTGGCAGACTTGAGCTTCCTTGTCCTGGGTGATGGGGAGGGGGGTGTTGGGCCTAACAAACTGGCTGATCAGGCCTCTAGAGCCCCACTGCAGCACCGGTCCCCAATGTCCCCAGCAGTTAGTTGCTCCTGTCATGGAACACAGGTGATGGCGGCCTTGGGCCCAGGAAGCCTAAGTCCTCTACACAGTTGCCACTGCCCACTCCTCCTCTTTTTTTGTGGTGGTACTGGGGCTTGAACTCAGGGCCTTGTGCTCCCATTTGGCTTTTTCCACTCACACCTGGCACTCTGCCACTTTAAGCCACACCTCCACTTCCAGTTTTTTGCTAGTTAATTGGAGATAAGAATCTCAGGGACTTGTCTTCCCAGGCTGTCTTTGAACCATGATCCTCAGATCTCAGCATCCTGAGTAGCTAGGATGACACTCGGCGTTCTGTTTCCACTTACTGTCCTATGCTGTTGTCACATTTGTCACCAGCAGCATAGGACAGGAGCATGCACTGTGCTTACTGCCAGGTTGGGAAACTGAGGTTGGAAGCAAGAGCCTAAGCCTGTAGAACTTCCACACTGTTACCATGGGGGGAAATCTTTGCAAGTATGGAACTCAGGCTGAAAGCATGAGTCAATGTTAGACAAATATTGTGACTAATAAGAACAAAGGCACAGGAAGGGCAAGAGCCAGGAGCAGGAGGCCTGGAAAGGCTCACTGGCAATAAAGGGAGAGGCTGCAGCCAGGTGTTGGTGGCTCACACCTGTAATCCCAGCTATTCAGGAGGCTGAGATCCCAGGATCACAGCTCAAAGCCAGCCAGGGCAAGAGTGAGACTCTTAGCTCCAATAAACCACCAGAGAACTAGAAGTGGAGCTGTGGCTCAGACCGTAGAGCACCAGCCTTGAGTGAAAATGCTTGGGGACCGTACCCAGGCCCTGAGCTCAAGCCTCAGTATCACACATGACAGAGAAGAGAGGTGACAGACAGGAGAGACAGAGAGATGTGGGGGGGAAGCAGCAACCTCTAGGTGACCCCCTCCCAACACAAAGGAGCCTGTTGACCGCGCGATTGTCCATCTCTCAATGGTCACCAGAGAATGTTCAAGGCTGGGAATAAATAAATGGAATTCTGCCTTTTGGGACCTGTCTGCCTTTTGGCTGCTGGGGCCTCAGTTTCCCCATCTGAGAAATGGAGGAACGACTATCCCCTAAGTCTGTGTGGTTGGTAGAAGGAAACAACCCACCAACAGCAAACCCTGCCTCAGTGCGCTTCAAGTTAATTCATTTCCACAGGCTCTGCGCCCCCCGTCCGGGTCGCGGAGACCCCAACCCCCACTTTCGTGGGTAGAGTGGGCAAAGTCCGAGTGGGCAGAGGGAGGAACAAGGAGGAAAGAGAAAGAGGAGGGGGAGGGCGCCCCCCCCCCCGCACCTCTCCCGCCCCCCTTCCCCGTGCCTTTGTCTGCGATCGCTTGGGCGCCCAGGGAGCTCGCCATGGAAACCGGCGCCGGCAAGCGGCGGACGGCACGGGGCTAAAGGGGGCCATGGCGCCGACTTTAAGGGGCTGGGACGCGGAGATCGTGAGACACACAGTCAGTCCGGGACCCCCCTGAATCTAGACTCCGCCATGCCGCGCGCCCCGGGGGGCCCCCGAGTGGCCTGGGCGCGAAAGGCGCCAGGGGTGGCGCGGAAGAGACCGCGGGTCCCGTCGCACTGATCCGTCCGGGAGACCCCCCCCCCCGAGACCCCCGAGACCCCCGGCCGGGTGGAGCCTGGGGCGGGGCCGGGGCGGGGCCGCGGACGGCGCGCCCCAGGCCCGGCCCTGCGGTGGACGCGCGCGCGCGCGCAGCGCCCCCGACGCGCGCAGACAAAGAATCCACGCCCGGCGCCCAGGCCGCGGCGGGGTCTCCGCCCGGACCCTCCCTCCCGCCCTCCGCCCGGACCCTCCCTCCCGCCCTCCGCCCGGACCCTCCCTCCCGCCCTCCCTCCCCGCCTTCCTCCCGAGTCCCGCCCCCCCGGGGAGGCCCGCGCTTTGTGCTCGCCGCTGCCCCGCAGCCCCCGCCGCCAGCTCCGCCCTTCCCGCGCCCGCCGGGCCAGGTGAGGGGGCTGCGGGCGAGCGCCGGGCCCCGCCCCTCCGCTCCCCACGACCCCCGCCCCGGGGTGCCCGGGGGTGGGGGGCGCCGTCCTCGGCCCTGAGGTCCCGGGTCCTCGAGCCAGGCCGGCACCGCCCTCCTAGCCGGAGCCGCTGTCCGAGCCCCCCGCTCCGGGCGCTCGGGGAGCCCGATCACGGATCTAGCGGATCCGCGGGGTCCCCCACCCCCATCCCCGGGGCCGCCCCTCCCCCTCCCCCTCTCCAGCCTCAGTTTCCGTAGGCTGTTCTGGCGAATCCTTGTCCGCTTCTCTCCCCCCTCCCCGCCGCGCCAGGCTCCACCGGGTCGTCCTCCTTCGGGGCGCGCGACCCCTCCCCACCCCCGATTCCCTCTCCAGGTCGGCTTTGTGCCCCTCCAAGCCCGGCCTGTGGCGCCCCTGCGGCACCATGATCTCCGGCAAGGAGAAGAATAAACCCCCGAAGGACAGCATGACGCTCCTGCCTTGCTTCTACTTCGTGGAGGTGAGTGGGGGGCGGCCGGGGGGGGTCTCCGTCCCCCTTCCTCTCCCCCCACGCCGGGGTCCGGGACCCAGGGGCGGACACGGCTGTCCCAGAATGCCCGGGGCCGGCCGAACCTTGAGCACCTGGGGTTGGAGTGGGGGATTGGATTGGGGCCGGTCAAAGGCGTGAGGCTCTGCTGCTGAGTAGGAGTGCTGGAGGTGCGGAAGGGCGGTCTGGGCTGGAAGAACCGAAGGATGTGGGCACAGACTGAAGGGGGGGGGGGGCGGCCAGGGAGGGACACAGGTCAGTAGCTGGCTTGGTGAGGCCGGGGCTCCAGTGGGGAGGTCGGAGGGAGTGGCTGGGTGCTGTGCACGGTTCTCCTGGAGCCCTGGGTTGTGAGGTTAGAGGTGGACGTGAATGCTAGTTGCCAGTGCCTGGGCATCGTGCTCTTGTTCCTCAAAGTGGACCTTCAGGAATTGGTATTTAGAGGACCCCCGAGCCTCAGCTACAGGGTGGAGGCTTTGAGAACGTTCTAAAAAATGGAAGACAATGAATGCAGATACCTGGTGCATACTAATGGTTCAGGATGGTATTTGTTCATCTTTGGATGACATGCTAGGAAAGCCTGGCTCCAATGAGAAGTAGCTAAGGGCAGAATCTGAAGCCCTGGGGGCCTGGCACAGTGGATTTTTGCCTAGCAGCCAGTGTCACCATGACCTGCATCGCTTTGTAGAAAATCGGTTTTTTCAAGATGGCATTTATGCCCCTATGACAATATGACAATAGATTACCCCATCTCCAAATCAAGGTGGCTCTCTCTCTCTCTTACTGATCTCTCTCTCTCTCTCTCTCTCTCTCTCTCTCTCTCTCTCTCTCTCTCTCTCTCTCACACACACACACACACACACACACACACACACACACACACACACACATCCCTTCCTCCCTACTGACTACTAAAGTTTGAACTCAGGGCCTCAAGCTTTGCTATGTGAGCCATACCCTGGCCCTTTCCTTTTTCTTGCTTTCTTATTTTTTATTTTTATTTTTTTGTAGGTCATGGGGCTTGAACTCTGGGGCTGAACCTTGTCTCTGAGCTCTTCAGCTCAGGGCAAGTGCTCTACCACTTGAGCCACAGTGCCGCTTCTGGTTTTCTGGTGGTTCATTGGAGATAAGAGTCTCACGGATTTTCCTGCCCTGGCTGACTTTGAACTGTGATCCTCAAATCTCAGCCTCTTGAGTAGTTAGGATTACACGTGTGAACCACCAGTACCCAGCTGATCTCATTTTTTTTTTTTGTCCTTCAAGAAATTGCTTTACTTTTTTTTTTTTTTGCCAGTCAGTCCTTGGGCATGAACTCAGGGCCTGGGCACTGTTCCTGAACTTCTTTTGCTCAAGACTAGCGCTCTATCACTTAAGCCACAGGGTGCCACTTCCTTGATGATTATTTTGGAGATGGAATCTCCTCTGCGTCTCAGCCTTTTGAGTGCCTAGGATTACAGATGTGACCCACCTGTGCCCAGCCAAGGCCTTTTTTCCCCAGCTGAGACTTTGGCTTAACATCCCACACAAGGCAGCTAGCTGTTTTCCATGCTGCGTAGTACTCCATCCATCCCCAGTTGGTAGACAAGCAGATTGGCCTTTCAGGAATGTCCTCTGGTTGTCCCTTACCATCCATCCAGCTGTGAGCTTAGCGTTGGATAAATCTTGGCAAGCAGGACTTATAAAGAGCATGCAGTTACTTTGGGAAACACCCCCGACTTCTTCCCGTGGAGGAGGCTGTAGCGTTTTGCACAGCAGGGCAACTGTTTACCCACATTCGCACTCGGCACCATGTGTGAGCAGTGTTTTGGATTTGGACCAATGTGTGGGCTGAAAAACTGAATGGCAATTCTAAGTTGAATTTGTCTTATGATGGGTACATATACGCCTGCACTTGGAATGAGAATGTCTTTATGGGAACAAACCCATTACAAGTGAAAATATCATCTGGTGAAATTGTTAGTACACTGTACTGCCAAGCACAGTGGCTCATGCCTATAGTCTCAGATACTCAGAAGGCTGAGATCTGAGGATCACAGTTTGAAGCCAGCTTGAGTAGGAAAGTCTGTGAGACTCTTATTTCCAATTAACTAGCAAAAAAAAAAAAAAAAAGCCAGAAGTGGAGCTATGGCTCAAGTAGTAGAGTGCCAGCCCTTAGACAAAAAGCTCAGAGACAGCATGTTAGTTCAAGCCCCTGTACTGGCACCAAAAAAAAAAAAAAAAAAAAAAGGGACTTGGGGGGGGGGGGGGCTCAAGTATTAGAGAGATTTTAATGCCCTGAGTTCAAATTCCAGTAACTGCCAAAAAATAGAAATAATGAAATACACCAAAGCTACCCATTCTAGCTATCGGTTCACATAATTGAACTCAGATCATTCACTTAGCTTATGGTAGGGCAAGTTGGCTTTCACAAGCTAATTTTATTTATCTATTTATTTATTATTATTGTTTTTGTTCATTGTGGGGTTTGACCTCAGGGCATAGGCGCTGTCCCTGAGCTTCTTTTGCCCAAGGCTAGCACTCTACCACTTTGAGCCACAGCACCACTTCTGGCTTTTTCTGTGTAGGTGGTACTGAGGAATCGAACCCAGGACTTCATGCATGCTAGGCAAGCTCTCTACCACTAAGTCACCTTCTCAGCCTTGGCTTTGAACCTTGATCCTCAGTTCTCAGTCTTCTGAGTAGCTGGCATGAGCCACAGCACCTGACTCCTGAGATGTTAATAACCACTGCAGGGCCAGCTTTCCAGAGCTTGTGTCCCCCCTGCAGAAGGGGACACTGATGTCAGCTTTGGACAGTGATGGAGCACTCGAGAATGTCACCTGTTTTGTACCCAGCATGTCGGGACACGTGGCTAGACTGTGGGAAGAACAGAGGCCCAAATGAATAGCCACAGACCTACCACAGGACAGACATCTTGGGGCTGTGTGGTAGAACAGTACATAGGGATAGGGTAGGGAAAAGAAAGCCATCCCCAGAAAGAACAGAGAGATGAGGTCCGGGGAAGCCCCTCCCAAAAGGACTAGCAGCAGGTGGGTAAGGGAAACATGTCCCAGACATGGAGCAAGGCAGCTCTGGAGAGACCCAGAGGCAGCAATTGTTTGCTCTTTCTAGATTAAGAAACTAAGGGTGGATAGAGGACCCAAATGTATGTCTGTTTGTATGTAAGGGATGGACGAGATGACTGGATGTATATATGTAAGGTAGATAGATGAATGTATGTATGTATAACTGTATGCGGGGTAGATGGATATATGAGTGGATGGGTGAGTGAATGGATTGATGGACTGATGGATGGTAGGTAGATGGATAAGTGGTAGGTAAATGGAGAGATACACATGTATGAATGGATGGGTGGACGAGGGGTGGCTGCTGGCTGCTGATAGATGGATGAATGGATGGATGGATGGATGGATGAATAGATGGAAGGGTGATGAATAGGTAGATACATGATGGGTGAATGGATGGGTGGAAGGCTGGATGGTGGATGGATGGATGAATGGATGTGTGGGTAGATGAATGGACGGATGATGGGTGGATGGAGGAGCCCCCAGATTGCCCCATTGGTGGATGAGTCTGGAATGGCGATGCTGGCTGGCTAGCTGAAGAAGCAGGCATGATTCCGGCCTGCTTTCTGCCCACAGCTGCCCATTGTGGCATCATCCATCGTGTCCTTATACTTTCTGGAGCTGACGGACTTGTTCAAGCCGGCCAAAGTGGGCTTCCAGTGCTATGACCGTACGCTGTCCATGCCGTACGTGGAGACCCATGAGGAACTCATCCCCCTGCTCATGCTGCTCAGCCTGGCCTTCGCCGCCCCGGCGGCCTCGGTGAGTCCTGTGTGGGATGTGGGCAGGAGGGCCCTGGCCTGGGGGCCAGCCTGAGCACCGTCTTTGTTGGGCAGATCATGGTTGGCGAGGGCGTGCTGTACTGCCTGCAGTCCCGACTGTGGGGACGCAGCGGGGCCCCTGGTGGGGCTGAAGGCAGCATCAACGCAGGTGGCTGCAACTTCAACTCCTTTCTGCGGCGCACTGTGAGGTTTGTGGGTGAGTCGCTGGATGACACCTGAACCCTGGGGTAGAAGCCCTCCCAAACCCCTAGATCCCTTGCCCCAGCCCTGACCACCCCCTCACCCCGCAGGCGTCCATGTGTTTGGGCTGTGCGCCACGGCCTTGGTGACCGACATCATTCAGCTAGCCACGGGATACCACGCTCCCTTCTTCCTCACTGTGTGTAAACCTAACTACACCCTGCTGGGCACATCCTGTGATGCGAACCCCTACATCACCCAGGACATCTGCTCCGGCCATGACACCCACGCCATCTTGTCTGCACGGTGAGTTGAGCGCCCAGCCTTGGCACTGTTCTGTTCACTCTAGTGAGCATATGGGGATACTGAGGCACAGAGCCTCTTTCCTCCTCCTATCAGTGGGACTGACATGATCATGTCTTACAGGAAGACCTTCCCATCCCAGCATGCCACTCTGTCAGCCTTCGCTGCCGTCTATGTATCGGTGAGTCGGATCCCCCCCTCTTCCCCCAAGGTGGGCCCCACATTTTCTCAGGGAGAGCCAGCTGTGGCCTCACTGTGCACCCCCGGCCCCCAGATGTACTTCAACTCGGTCATCTCCGATACCACGAAGCTGCTGAAGCCCATCCTGGTGTTTGCCTTCGCCATCGCTGCTGGTGTCTGTGGGCTAACACAGATCACCCAATACCGCAGCCACCCCGTAGATGTCTATGCTGGCTTCCTCATCGGTGCTGGCATTGCTGCCTACCTGGTGAGTGGTGGGAATCTGGGGGCAGGCTGGCCACCAAGGAGGTCTTGAGGGAAGAGGAAGCCCTGAGGTCTCAGGCTGAGGTCACTCTGCAGCACCACATCCCTTAGGATGGAAGTCAGCCCTTAGCTCAGTTCTCAACCATGTCAGGTGCTGGTGGCTCACGACTGTAATGCAGCTCAGGAGGCTGAGATCTGAGAATTGCTGTTCAAAGCCAATCTGGGCAGGAAAGTCCCCGAGACTCTCATCTCTAATTAGCCAGCAAAAAAAGCTGCAAGTGGAGCTGTGGATCAAGTGGTAGAGCACTAAACTTGGGCAAAAAAGCTCAGGTAGAGTGCCCAGGCCCATTGTTCAAGCCCCAGGAATAGCACCAAGACAAAACATGCTGGGGCTTTGAAGACAGAACCCGTCCACCGGGAAATGCATGCCTGTCCTCATGCTCAGTGGCAGGGACACTTCCTAGGAAGCCACCAGCCTCATATTTAGCCTTCATGTTCTCTAGGCCTGCCATGCAGTGGGTAACTTCCAGGCCCCACCAGCAGAGAAAACCAGTACCCCAGCCCCTACCAAGGATGCACTGCGGGCCCTGACCCAGAGAGGTCATGACTCAGTTTACCAGCAGAACAAGTCAGTGAGCACGGATGAGCTGGGGCCTCCGGGGCACCTAGAGGGTGTATCCCGGCCTGTGGTTCGAGAAAAGACATCACTGGGCAGCCTGAAGCGTGCCAGTGTGGATGTGGATCTGCTGGCGCCCCGCAGCCCCATGGGTAAGGAGAATATGGTGACCTTCAGCAATACCCTGCCCAGAGTCAGCACTCCCTCTCTGGATGACCCCGCCCGCCGCCACATGACCATCCATGTGCCCCTGGATGCCTCCCGCTCCAAGCAGCTCATCAGCGAGTGGAAGCAGAAATCCATGGAGGGCAGAGGCCTGGGCTTGCCGGATGACGCCAGCCCTGCCCACCTACGCGCCCCTACCGAGCCCATGGCGGAAGAGGAGGAGGAGGAGGAAGAGGAGGAAGAAGAGGAGGAGGAGGAGGAAGTGGAAGAAGGGCCTGTCCCACCCTCTCTCTACCCTACAGTCCAGGCCCGGCCAGGACTGGGGCCTCGTGTTATCCTGCCGCCCCGGCCAGGCCCGCAGCCCCTGGTGCACATCCCTGAAGAGGGGGCGCAAGCAGGGGCAGGCCTGTCCCCCAAGAGCAGCGCAGCAGTACGGGCCAAATGGCTCATGATGGCTGAGAAGGGTGGAGCCCCTGTGGCTCCCGGGCCACAGCAGCCCCGCGTGGCTAACCCACCTCGGCTCCTGCAGGTGATTGCCATGTCCAAGGGTCCTGGGGGGCCTGGCCCTAAGGCAGAGACCGCCTCATCATCCAGTGCCAGCTCCGACTCCTCACAGTACCGGTCCCCATCAGACCGGGACTCGGCCAGCATAGTCACCATCGATGCACATGCGCCCCACCACCCTGTGGTCCATTTGTCTGCAGGCAATGCACCCTGGGAGTGGAAGGCTAAGGGGGCAGAGAGTGAGGGTGGGTATGAGCTTGGGGACCTGGCACGCAGCTTCCGAGGGCCCAAGCCACCAGGTGTGTCCCCGGGCTCATCCATCAGTGATGTGGACCAGGAGGAGCCACGGTTTGGGGGGGTGGCCACTGTCAACTTGGCCACCGGCGAAGGGCTGCCCCCACTGGGTACAGCTGATGGGGTGCTGGGGCAGTCCAGCCGTGAGTCTACCCTGAGGCGTCAGGCAGCTGCCGGCCAGGGACTCTCGGGGCTGGCAGAGCGGGAGGCCGCAGAGGTGGAGGCAGAGAGCTACTACCGCAGAATGCAGGCCCGCAGGTTCCAGGACTGAAAGGGCACTGCCCAGGAACTGGGTATCTGGACACAGAGACCCCAGGGGCCAGGACTGGGTGGGCAAGGGAGGGGGCAGCTGAGCACCAATCAATAAAATTAACTGGTGACACAAGGCTTGAGCCATTTGGTGTGGTGATTGAGCGGAGCAATAGACTTCTACCGCGGGGAGCAGGACTAGGAGCTGGCTGAGGGCACCAGTCAGGGGTCTAGCTAGGTTCTTGCTCTACCAAGGAGCAGCAGGGTTTGTATGCGCAGGTGAGCCCTCAGGCCAGGACACTGGCCTCCACCCTCCCTCCCGGGAAGCCAGGCGAGAAAAAGTGGGGAGAGGAATGGCTGGATGTGAGAAGAGACAGCAGCAAAGACAAGCAGGCCCAATGAGGAGGTCAGAGGTCAGGACACAGGAGTTTATTCCAAGTCCAGGTACAGAGGGCAGGCAGCTGCCTTCTACAGCGTCAACAGCAAGAAAGGGCTACGGGGAAGGCACAGGTTTGTTATAAAACGGTTTAATTGAGCTCTTTCCGCATTACAAGCCATCTGGGACGGGAGTGGAATGTACTGTGGCCAGTGCTGGCTCCACAGGCAATACTGAGCCTGTAATCGCTGGTATCAAAATATACATCTGTCACCATAGAAAACCGCATGTGCTGCCTCCGCATCTTACAACAGGTATAAAAAAATTATAAATATTTACACCCTTGCTACACTCCTTTATGGAACTTATGGAACCTCAGGACCCAAGGGTACCCCTCTTGCTGGGGACAAGTTGAGCCACAGGGCAGAGCATTTAAGACCAGGACTTGAGTCCTGCACCTGGGGCTTCAGCATCAGAGGCAGACAAGAAACAAAACTTTGGTCCAAAATTTGAAGGAAAAAAAAAAAAAACAGACCCTGAAAGTTTTAAAGAGTTTTCCAAGGCAGATTACAAGTTGAGTGGGTAAGGCAACTGGAGGCTCAGAAAGAAGCCGGGCTGAGGATTGGGCTTCCTGCGCCTGCGCGAGCCAGCCGCAGCCGCCTGCTCCTGAAGCCTGGATCCCGCCTGTGACTTATTACAAAGAGTAGAAGTACAGCATACGAGTAATACCACAAGGAGGAAGCTTAGATTACACTCATACCATTGCATCATCTTGCTATAAAAAGTTACTTAAAACTATGTCTCTTGCATATAAATGAAAAAGGATTAGGATATTTGGTCAACTGGAAATATTGCTAGGCACAGATATGTCTGCGACCGCATCCATGTATAATACAAAGGTTAGGAAGAGGCTCCATGGCGGAGGCAGGGACAGGCCAGAGCCCCTGGGCTATGGGGGGGGGGGGCAGCTGGGGACTTGGGATGATTATGTCACTTGATTAAGAGGTGGGGGTTGGCTGGCCTTGTTTCCTGCCAGCATAGGACACATGATCGTGAGGGAAGGCGTGGCTGCCTGTGGCTGCCTTGTTCACCTGCAGCAAGAGCCCAGGCCAGTCGCCCATGTGCCTGTGGTCGATGCGTGAATGGTGCGTGGCAGACGGGTTTCTAAGGCACAAGAAGCCAGTTGGTCTGGGTACCCACTGCAGCTTCACGCCCTACAAGGCACACATGGCCCTGGGCCTGGCTGGGCAGGCAGGGACCCTGCTGCTGCTGCTGCTGCAGCCGAAAATCAGCAAGGTGGACTAGATTTAATTTTTTAAAAAACAGGTAAACTGATTTCTCTTTAAAAAAATAAAATCTCTGGTCTGTTAAGGTCACTTCAGCTGCTTTTTAAAGTGGCTTTTCTGGAATGGTGGAAGTTGTCGCCAGGGAGCCCAGGCAAGGCACCTAGATGGTGGACTTGGAGAAGGACACTCGAAGGTGGTGGTTCTCTCCCAGGTCATGGTTGTGCAGGTCTATGAGGGCCTGCACTGCCTCCTCCACAGAGCCCATTTGGATCAGTGCCATCTTGCGGTCCTTCCTGCAAGAAGGCAGGTATCGGTCAAGATGAAGGGCAGAGGTAGAGCAGAGGCCATGAGGGGTTGATGGGAACCTATACTCACTGGAAGAACTTGAACCCCTTGACGACGCCCCCATTGCTGGAGAAGAGGATCTTGAGGTCTTCCTCAGATATGGAGGGCCTATGGAGAGAGGGTATGAGCAAGACGGCAAGTGCTTGTGTGGGGTCCAGGACAAGGAACACCCAAATGTCCTTTGAAACCTCAAAGGATTTAAGGAGCCAGGCACTGGTGGCTCACACCTTAATCCTAGCTACTTAGGTAACAGCTGGGCAATAAAGTCTGTGAGGGCTGGGCGCTGGTGGCTCACGCCTGTAATCCTAGCTACTCAGGAGGCTGAGATCTGAGGATCGCGGTTCAAAGCCAGCCAGGGCAGGAAAGACCGTGAGACTCCTATCTCCAATAAACCACCAGAAAACCGGAAGTGGCGCTGTAGCTCAAGTGGTAGAGCGCTCGCCTTGAGCTGAAGAGCTGAGGGACAGCACCCAGGCCCAGAGTTCAGGCCCCACGACTGGACCCAAAAAAGAAAATAAAATAAAGTCTGTGAGACTCTTAACTCCAGTAACTACCAAAAAAGCCAGAAGTAGAGCTGTGGCTCAAGTGGTATAATGCTAACCTTGAGCAGAAAAATTCAGGGACAGTGCCTAGGCCCAGAGTCCAAGCACCAGGGATCAGTGTATGTGTGTGTACATGTATGTAGTGTCTCAGTGGTGGAATGCAAGGCCAAATGTTCAATACCTAGTCCTCAAAAGATGAAACACAAAACAGTTGGGCACGTGCCTACGATCCTAACAGTCATAAAAATAAAAACAGCTACAAAGGAGGCTGAGATCAGGACTATAGCCCGGGAGAACAGTTCATGATCCCATCTCAGAAAAAGCCGAGTACAACCATGTGCCCCTGTTGTCCCTGCTACAGCAAGAAGCCTAAGCAGGATTTCAATCAAGGACTGCCCAAGCATATTCATGTCTCTGCCTCTAGACAACCAGTGCAAAAGTGGCTCAACAGAGTACATGCATGCCTAGCCAGCTGGCTTCAAACCCTAGTACTAAACTAGCAAAGAGCAGCGTCTAGTCACAGGTGACTACACATTCCATGTAGCTTCTATGAGAATGAAAGCCCCAAACACTTGCAGAAAATATTCCCGTGCTCCACTCCTCTGCTAGCTTAAGTGCTGGGACCAGCTTGGCGAGTACACTGATCTGGCCCAAGGAGGCCTTAAATGTTAGTCTGGAGGAAGAGCCTAAAGAAGCAGGCAGGAGCTGGGCGCTGGTAGCTCACGCTTGTAATTTTAGCTATTGAGGCTGAGATCTGAGGATCGTGGTTCAAAAGCCAGCCTGGGCAGGAAAGTCAGTGAGACTCTTATCTCCATTAAACCACTAGAAAACAAGAAGTGGCGCTGTGGCTCAAGCAGTAGAGTACTCGCCTTGAGCTGAAGAGTGCAAGGACAGTACCCAAGGCCAGAGTTCAAGCCCCACGATCAACAACAACAAAGGCAGGCAGGACCGTGGCTTGTGTGGCCTGTGGCCCACCCCACAGCCCGACTAGACTCACGGGATGTTGGAGAGGTGCAGGGTAGCTGAGGGTGGGAAGATGTTCTGGAAATTCTTGGAGCCAGGCTTCTTGAACCGGTGTAGTGGTGAGTTGCCGTAGTCCTTGGTGAGACCCTGGTCCTCCTGGCCCTCTCGGGGCAGCTGCACGCTCTGGTGCTTGGACAGGGTGATGCGGACAGGCTTCCCATGCAGCTTGTGCCCATTCAGGTGGCTCATAGCTGGAGAGAGTCAGTTCAGACCCATGACCGACGTGCCCACCAGGCTTGGGCATAGCCCCAGCCTGGCCCTGTTCCCAGAGCTCTTACCCAGCTGAGCCTGGCTGCCGTCGGCCATCTGCACCAGTGCGTTCTCCTTTTTATTGAACAGGATCTTCACCCGCTGCACATCACCATAGACTCCTTCAAAAGCCCGGGACAAGGGGATCTGAGTGGTCCCAGCCCAGCCAGCCTCCCCACCCACCCAGCCCCCACGCTCCCCTCCAGGCTCTGGTGGCCCGGCTGGACCCATTTACTTAGTCTGCCACCAGGGAGCCTGCGTCTAGCAGCCCAGGGCCGTCTAACAGGATGCTACATTCGGCAAGTCATGAACTGCAGACAGGTAACTGTCAGAAAGACCACTTTTGCATGCTAAGGACACGTTTAACTCGAGAAGCATGCAGGGCGGTAAACCATGCGTGTCTATGGTCAGATACAATCCGCAAACCGGAAGCAAACCACGTAACGTAACGAGGCAGAAGGCCAAACCGCAAACTCAATAGTACATCGCAGGGTGTAAAATAATCTCAATTAAATGAAAACAAGGTAATAAAAGGGTGAATAACATACCGAAAAGAATAAAGAGGCTTTGGGGTGTGACTCTCTTTAGAGGACAGCAGAGCAAGGCAGCGAGGGGACAGGGGAGAGGGAGAGGTCAAGGGGGCGAGGTGCCAATCGTCCACCACGAGGAGACAGTCCCCGCAGGCGAGCAGGTTGACGGATGATGAAGTTGTCAGGATGTTAATATTCAAGGGCAGGTTGGTTTCCGGAGAGCAGGGTTTGAGGGGGGAGTTTTGTTTTGTTTTGTTTTTATTTATTTATGTTTTGTTTTGTTTCAAGCAACAACAGGAAGCAGAAGAACCGTGCAGTCAGTTGGCAAAGAAATTCCGGATCAGGGCAAGAAAAAAATTGGGAAAGGGGAAGGGGAGAAAAGAAAAAAAAGTAGCAAAAAACACAGGTCAGTAAATACATAAGAAAATAAGGCAGTGTTCCCTCAGTCACACACACACACACACACACACACACGCACACACACGCACACACGCGCACGCACACACACACGCACACACACACACACCAATACAGGCATGCACGCCTCATGGCTCCGCTTGGAGGAGGAACACACCATCAAGGAGAAGCAGTGCATGGGCGCTGGGCTGGGCTGCAGGGTTGGCCTGCCCCACCACTTCCCTAGTTGTGGTGCCAATGGCACCCCAGGGCCAGCCTGGTCACTGAGCAACATGGCTCCTACAGCTGCTGCAAAGCAGCTCAAAATGCCATGCCTGCAAGGCAGTGAGCAAGTGGAGGCTATGGTGGGGCCAAACAGCACAGCTCTCACCCTGCTCAACCCTGAGCTCAGGAATGCCACAGGAGTCAGACAGACAAGAGATACCATTAAACGCTCATCCCACCAGGCAGATTCTATCTCCCTGAGCCTTCACCCTCTCATCCGTGCTCTCCCAGGGCCAAGTTGACCCTTTGACAAATTCATACACACACACATCTCAGTAGCTGCCACCCACAAACAGGCTGTGCACTCAAGCCCTGACCACCTGACCTGTGGTGTGGGCACAGCACAAGCCCAGGGAAGGCCCAAGCTGTGTCTGCTGTGCCCCCAGCTCATTTATCTTAGACTGCCTCTAGATAAGTAACTAAAAATATTTCAACTCTGAATACTATGAAATTGAAAATGCAAATCAAGACATCAGGGAGACAGGAAAATCCAGAGCCATCTTGGAAGGAGAATAAACGTGAGCAAGGTGGAGACATAGGAGCAGACTGTAGAGTAGGGCGGTGACGCGGGGTGGCCTGCAAAGACCACAGCTGCGGACTCCAGAGCCCCATCTGCTTTGGCCAGTAGACCTAAGACCACACACCCCTCTCTCCCTGGTTCACAGCTTTCAGCTCTGGGAGAAGGCTGGAAAGAAGACCCACATACCTCGGGGTTCAGGTTGCTGACCAGCAGGACCGAGTTCCCAGCACCAGCGAGGCCTGGGATGGCAATGCGGCCTGCTGCGGCTGCTGCAGCAGCTGCTGATGGTATGGCCAGTGGGGCCAGGGCTCCATGTACGTTAGGGACAGAAAGGCCTGGAAAGGAAGGGCCATCAAGAAGTGACTCCGAGCAGCTTCTTCTGTCACTAAGAGGGTGCAGGTACCCCCTTCTTCATGCACAAGGAGCCACAGATGGGAGGCAGCGCTTGGCTCTAGCCCTAGGCATGACGCATGGGTCCACTTGGCCCACGCCCGCCACACTGCCTCCTTGCGGCTCCTCCAACACACCCCATTCTCCTCACACAGCACCAAGTCGTGCTGGGGTGTGGACCAGTCTGCATGCGCCCACAGCACAAAAGCTCCAGTCCGTGATCACAGACACGAGCCCTCTGCAAGCAGGGCCTGCCACAGGACACGCACGGCCGTGCGCGCATTCTCCATGCAGGTAAGACGCAGCACGCATGGCTGCCCACGGGCACGCAGCAGCCAGGCAGTGCACACGTGCTGCCGTTGGCCCATGCTCCTCAGCCTCAGAGGCCACTTGCTTACCGGGCCACTTAAATTCAATCTACTAGGGATACATCCCTCCACACACTGCGTCCTCATCCTCGCCCGAGGTGCTTGAAGGGAACCAGACCAAACACTGTACAGTTAGCAGCTTCTTGCCACAGCCCACATTTGACATGGGCTCCTGGCCCTGCCCTGACTACTAACTGCCCTGCCCTGCCCTGTCCAGGCCGCCTGTGGTTACAGCTGCCTGAGTCCTACCCCTCCCAGGAAGGGGTCCCGTGACCTGGCACTCATGGTGACCAGTCCGGCACACCAGCCCCGTGAAGCAGTGCTACGTGGAGGGTGGTGTGGGCATGCAGTCACTGGGGTCAAGAGCGAGTGTGAATACCTGCAGCTTGTGGAATGGCAAAGGTGGGAGGGAACCCAGCTCCTGCATACGGAGAGGCTGAGATTATACCAGGTGCACCTAGAAACAAACAGACACTAATCATTGCACCACACCTCCACCGCGAGAACCTGTGTGGGGTGGGCCCAGCCTGCTGGGGGCTATCCAAGAGCATCCGCGGGCAGGTCCGCTGCTCTGGGGGGCAGGGAAGGCAGGGCTGGCCATGGGGGCACTGGGCTGGGCAGTGCTGGCGTGCAAGGAGCGGCCGGGACCTGCGGGCAGACGCTGACTGAGCTGTGCAGCCTATATCCCCACCCAAGCCCCTACTTCATCTGTCACGCACACTGGGTCCACAGCGTCAGCATCTTACCAAAGGCTGCAGCCATGGTCTGGTCCAACGAGGGCTGGCTGTCACCAGAGGGCAGGTCTGGGCGTGTATAGTCACGGCTCTTGTCGTTGTTGTACTTGACATTGAGGCTGGTGAGCTTGGAGAAATCGATTCTCAGTGTGCAGCAGGCATTGTAGATGTTCTGCCCATCCAGGGACTACAGGGGAGAAAGGCCTGATGAGCACTGGCCCTGCTTGTGGCCTCTGCCTCCCCCCACCATCCCAGGAACCCCTACTCACCAGCTTGGCATGTTGGGCACTCACGGGGTCAGCATACTGCAGCAGCGCCTGAAACTGGTTGTTTTTGGTGAATGTGATGATTTTCAGAACTGTGCCGAATTTGGAGAAGATCTTTAGGAGCCAGGCAAGACAGACAAAACAATGGTGAGGCCCTTGGAGACATGGGGGGGGAGCGCATGGCTGGCAAGCCGCCCAGCCCGCACCCACACCTCACCTGGTGCAGCACGTCCAGAGTCACAGGGTAGAAGAGGTTCTCTACAATGATCCTGAGGACAGGGCTCTGCCCTGCCATAGCCATCCCTGCATCAACAGCTGCAGCAGAGGCGGCCAGGGCCAGGTTTCCTGACTGGACTGAGTTCACAGCCTGCAGGGCAGCTTGAGCCCGCTGTGGAGACAGCACACATGAGCCCCAGGGTCTGTGGGCCTCTGGCCCAGCCCATCTCACCCCCAGAGCAGACTCACCGCTTGGTTGGGAGAGCTATCGGTCTTGAGCTCCTTGTGGTTGGAAAACTGGATGTAGATGGGCTGGCCACGGAGAACCGGAGTGACTGAAGTATAGTAGTTAACCATGGTGTTGGCTGACTCCTCCGTGTTCATCTCAATGAAGGCCTGGTTCTTCCCCTTCAGCATGAGGAGGTTGGTGACCTTCCCGAAGGGCAGCCCCAAGGAGATGACCTCACCCTCGGTGACATCCCCAGGCAGCTTTCGGACATGGATCACTCTGGAGGGGACCCCAGCACTCCTGTTGTCCCCTTTGAACTTCTTGCTGTCGTTTCCATTGGCTGAAAGAGGGGAGGAGGGGGGTTCCAGCCCTGAGCCACATGGGAAGCACGCAGGTGGCCAGCTGCTCCTCCTGGTGGAGGCCTCCCTTCCTGTCCCTGCCTCCTAAACCCTGCACTCCAGTTCTAAGAAAACTGTCTGTAAACCTGGAGCTCAAGGGTCAAAACCACCAGAATCAATATTTATGAAAACTTCTCCTGCAAATCCAAGCACACACCAGGGCAAACGCCACCCAGTCTGGCCCACAGGCCACAGCAGTCTGAACTGAACACAAATTCAAGTCCCTCTTAACTACAACATGACCTTAATTCATGAGGGGACAGCCACACACACAAAGCAAGCAGGGCTGAGAGAGGGGTTACCTGCAGAGGCAGAGTTGCTGCTCATGATAAAGGGTCCGTTGGTAACACACGTAGAAAAAAGCTCGTCAGATCCCCGCTGAAAAAAGAGCAGAATGAAACTGCATTTCCTGTCTCCCCGCTAGAACCCCCTTCCCCTTCTCAGGACATGCCCACCCCCAGCACTGGCCTGCAAGCCCAGACCTCAACAAAGCCTCACACCTGGGCTCTTTTACCTCAGGGGCCTAGGGCCACGGCTGATGGGGGCTGTGGACATACCTTCCCATGTCAAGCTTGACTGTGGGTGCTGGCCCAGGGCCTCCCTGTGCTGTATTTTGTGCCCACACTACAGTGCTTCAGGAGAAACCTAGCCCTGCCACAACCTCCCTTTTTTCTTCTTCTACCCCAAGAGTTGTCCTATTTTCCAGCTGCCCAGGGAAACCCGAGCAGCAGCCGCAGTGCCCTTTTTCAGAGGACTGGAGACACTGCCCCTTTATGCAGCTAGCAGGCGACACTGTCGGGAGAAGAGCGGGGTACCCACTCATCTCCATCTCGAGTGCTCCCAAGCCAGTCCCCTGTCTTCTGATTGCTCTTATCTATCCTGAAACAACAGGTTTGCTCTTTAGCTTAAGGGAGTAGAACCCCAGGAGTGATAGATACTAGGAATGTGCAACTCCTCCTGTTCAAACTCCAAGACACAGAGCCCCACTCAAAACATGAAACTGGAGATGCTGGGACAGTCCTTCCCCGAGGGCCTGTAACTCTGTCAGTGTCAACTTCTGCCCCAGACCCTGCAGATAGCCACTCAGGCCAGCCCCCTCCCAGTTACCTAGGAGGGCCACCTGGGGACAAAGATTCAGCCTCTCCCCAGGAAAGGACCTCCCTTCCTTCAGAACCTTTGTGGATCACCTATTCCCCCACCTCCAACAACCAAGCAAGTGAGCTGTGTCCTGTCACTCACAAGCCAGGACTGCTGGCCCCAGAGGGCTGCCCCTCCCCAGGACCCCCAGGTCTGCAGACTGGACAGAAACCCAAGGAGGTCCCCAAGAAGCTTGTAGAGAGGACCTTTCTCTCTATGTGTTCACGTCCCACAGGGAGGGCTCAAGAGCAGGGCCTGGCTGCTGCTCAAGCAGACTGCTGAAGACTTACACCCATCCAGGCTTCCCACTCATTCCCAAGGTGCCTCCCGAAACAGAGTCAATGCTAGCTCAAGGCTAAGGTTTGCTGTAAATCATGTGTAACCTAAACCACAGGACTCAGTGGCCCATAGGGGGAGGATGGTTGGGCTACGGGAATGAGGTGTGTGGAAATCACAGCTGAACTCACCGAAGGCAGGCCAACCTCAAATGCAAAGCCCAGAACCTTCAGTCAGCATGTCCAAACCAAAGGAAGTCACTTCCTGCCGTTGGTTACACCCTCCTCAGCCCACAAAGGGCAGAGCCTGAGCTGGACAGAGGCCAGCCACTCCCAAAGCCCCCATTGCTCATAGCACCAACCTTAAAGGGGCATCGTGGCTACAGCCTGGACAAGGGGACAGGCTGTGTGTGCTTCTGCAGCCACATTCTTGGCCACCTGCCTGGAACCCATAATTGCCCACAACGGTCGGTGCAACCAACTATCAGTGAAGGCAAAGGCACCCACCTGGGGCCCGCAGGACCAGGCTGCTGCAGGCAGCCAGGGCCTTGGAGGGCAGAGCCTTGGAGGCCAAGCTGGGGTGAGGTCCTGGGGCTGGGCGACCAGGCTACCCGGCAGACAGGAAGGTCTCCCTGGCACCTGTGCTCAAATCAATCAACCATCAAAGAAAAGGACCTCAGCATGAGGCAATTGGGCACAAGTGTCCTGCAATGTGCACCCCCAGGTCAACAGTCACCCTAGCGCTGGTGAGAAGACCAGAGATGCCAGTGCTGGCACGAGTTCCTGGCCTCCCCTCTGCCCTCTTCACCCCCCCCCAGCCCTCTGTAGTGAACTGAAGGTGAGGACTGACAATTGCCAAGAGGCAGGAGACCATCAGCCTTGCTCCTCCATCAAAGCTCTCTCCCTCCGCCTACACTCAACAAACAGGTTTTATCTGCAGGAAGATCAGGCAGCCAGGTGCAGACGCAACCACTCCGAGAAAACTGAAACCTAGCATGCCAACCACGGACCAGAAACCAGCTGCTGTTGCTTGGGATGCCGGCAGGGGGCCCAGCCTGCAGTGGCCTCTATGGAAGGAAGGCCCAGGACAAGAGGCCCAACACCAGCTACAGCTGAGACAACCTGACAGCCTGGATCCTCTCACCGCCTTTCTCCAAGACAGTCTGGTCCCCACCAGGTGGTTACTCTGGCCACCCTGCAGACTTTCCAGTTCTGGCCTTGAGCAGCTGCCTAAACACCAAGGCTAGCTCAGGGACACCTCTCCCTGTCACTTGGGAGGCAGGAGGGTCACTTGAGTCCCAAAGTTCAAGGCCAAAGTAGACCATCCCCCCCCCCCAACCAAACAAAAACATCCAAATCCTGAGGTTACAGCACCTCCTTATCTGTTTACCCTTAATTTAAAAAAATCCTTAAGTTCCAGAGCAAAGTCTACCTGGATAACTTGACAGTTTATGCTTCTAAACCAAGAAGCTATCAAAATACACATTCCAAGCCAAAGCCAACCAATTGCTAAATGCCCTTGGACCTCATTGCTTGGGCCAGACTCACCCCACAGCCTACAGCAAGAAAAAACAGAGGCTCCATGGCAAAGGGTGTGTTTATGGCGGGTAAAGGATGGAGGGGCCAATCATGAGACCCTACCACCCAAAACCCCAGTGGCTTGTGCCCTTGTAATCTCTCCAGCACACCTGGCTTGCACACCACTGCAGTCCAAGTTGCAGGCAGGAGTGCTGCGCTGGGAACAAACCCAGCTCTGTGCTCTAAGACAACAGAAAAAGGGCTGGCATGAATGAGAACAGAGGCGGCGCAGCAGAACCAGGAAGGAAGTGAGAAGCGCCTACCTTTGTACCAACTGCTATGTCTGGGACGATGCTGTGGAGAGAAAAGGAGAGATGTCAGCAGGGCCAGTACTCAGCAGGCTCAGAGACATGGAAGGCCAGCGGCCAGTCAAAACTTGGAAGGACAGGAGAGCCAGTCTTTCATTTAATCTCAAAAGGTCCTATCATTGTCCTTTAGCGCCCCTCCCACCCAGCAGGACCCCAGGCCCGCCTCTGCACTGAGCAGTGGAAATCTAAGCACAAAAGGCATCCCTCCCCTCCAGAGCTGAGGCTTGCAGCTAAGCTAAAGTTCAAGGGCTTCCTATATAAAACTGGAGGTGCGAGAAGGCCAAGGTCGGCTGGGCCCCAAGGCCAGAACTTCCGCCAGAATGGGGCAGGTAAGGCTCTGCACTGCAGGGGCCGCCAGAATGATCAGTTAAAATTAACGAAATCAACGGACCTGCCAGATTACAACCCAAGTTACTAATCAACTCTGGCTCCGCGTGACTGGACTTTCTCCCCATCTGGAGAAAGGCGGGAAGCCCTGTCCTATCTCTACCGGAGCCCGGAGGCCCTCAGCTCCATTTCGGCCGGTGCTTAAAACACTCCCAGGCAAACTCGACGTGGCAAGCTCAGGTCCTAAGTTGAGTCACCGATGCCTTGCCCCGTGGCCGAAAGGGGCTCCAGTTCCCGGTTGGGGCTTGCTAAGGACTTAAAAAAAAAAAAGTCCAGTTTCAACACATGCCTTAGGCAGTTGCTAAGTCGTGGGAAAACCTCCCGGAAACACGCAAGTAGCATTCAAGCTTATGGCGGTCCAGGCTCCGCACACAAGAGAAGCCACGGACTCGAGAGCCGTCCATCGAAAGAGACTGGCTGCCCTCCCTCGGGGTCCGCAATTGGGGCCAAGAGTCGACCTGATCTTAACCCTAAGGACTTGATTCTCGCGCGCGCTTGCTGCTTTCCGTACGTGGAATCTTAGGCACGGCCAGCCAGCGCCAGCCCCAGCCCGGGGCGGCGATCGGGCGGGGTCCCAGGGCAGAGCCCCGCGCGGCGGGAAAGACGCGCGTCCCCGCCAGGGCCCCCGCGCACGCGCACTAAAGCACGCGCGCACGCGGCGCCGGACGGGGCGCGCGAAGGGACATCCGGGCGCGCCGCGGGAGGACGGGAAATGGCAGGGCCTTGCGGCGCCAAAGCAGTCGGAAGCGAACCGCCCAGGCCGTCCGCCCGCCTGCGGGGAAGCCGAAACGGGGGGGGGGGGGCGGTTCCTTGTGAGCGCTCCATTAAGAAACAAGAGGGGGCTCCAAGTACGCCCGCGCGGGGGCCGGGCGGACGGGGTGCCGACGCGGCCCCTCCCGCCCGGGGACGTCCTCGCCGCCCGAGACCAGCGGGCGCCACGCGGAGCGGAGGCCCGGCGGGCGCGGCGGCGGCGCCGACAGCGCGGGGCCGCGGGGGAAGGGGCAGGCCCTGGCGGCAGCGAGCGCCGAGCCGAAGGACGACGTGAGAGGGGCGCGGCACAACTCACCCGTCCATGGCACACAGAACAGACCCGCGGGGGACGGAGCGGAGGCGCTGGAATAGCAGGAACCGACCCAACGGCTCGGAGTTATAGACTCACAAGATGGCGGAGACGCCCGCACACGTCCCCCGCGCGCACTGCCCATTGGCTCCCGCCGCCGCCCGGGGGCGGGGAGAACTCCGTCGTCTCCCGTGAGCTCCTCCCAATGGCAGGAGGCCGTTCAAGTGGGTGGGGCCTGAAGAAAGCTTAGGCGTCTATTGCTGGGGACGGCTGTCGGTCAGAGTGGGAGGCGGAAATGGTTGGTGAAAGAGAGGAGTAAAGCGGGGCCACGTGACGGCATCGGAGCCAGTGAGCGAGCCGCCATCAGGTGTGTGTCTTTGCAGGAAAAGCCATCTTGAGAGTGGGTACGTGGCGAGTCAGGCGGGTGAGAAGCGTGCTAGCCCCCCAGCTACCGCCATCTTGCAAGCGGGCAGGGTCCGTCTGCCCGCTGCGTGAGGGCAAAGGGAGGTGCGTCGCCATCTTGGAATAGGGCAGGGAACCTGCAGCGTGCCATCTTGCTTATGGGCATGTGGCCAAAACCGTGGATTCAAACCCAGCGCGTTCGCTCTTGGAACTAGCTAGAGGCCCGAAGATGTAGTCCCTGATGAGCACGCTTGCAGTAGCGTCGCGATCCTGGATCAGTCCTCCCCGCCTCCCCCACAGTATTTAACCCTCCCCCCCCCCTCAATTCAGTCACATTCGACCACGAGTCAAGGGATGGGGAAACTGAGGCACCGGCCTCACGGTAGACCCATCCCTCGCCCCCCTGCAAGTGGGGAAATAGCCCCAGGCTGCAAGGTGAGCGTGCATATCCGTTCACCACACGGACGAAAGGATAGAACCCTCACCCCAACCCTCTCCACCCAAGCCTGACATCCCAAATTAATATTCTAAGAAACTTGATCCAGCAGTGAGGACTGGAATGCTCAGACCCGCTGGCAGACTAAGGTGATCTCCCACACACCAGGGAAGCCACGGGGGCTGGGCTGCGAGAGAAGACCCTGGTCATAACCTTGGCACAGTTCCCAGCCCCAGTAGACGTGCAGTAAATAAGGGAAATTAACCAATTTTTGTTTGCCAGCCGTCTCTGCTGGAAAGAGATATTGCTTACTGGAAGCAGCCCAGAAAGTCTCCTTTTCCCCGCGTGGAGGTGAGGCCCTGCCTCCATGTGCTTTGCATCCCGTGGGCCACTGGAGCCCTGGCAGCAGCCCCAACTTCCGTGGGCCTGGCCCTGGGCCCAGTAGCCTTGGAGCCGACGCGGGCCTGGTGCCAGAGGATTCCAGCCGGGATTAGGGGCGGCTGCCGATTTCCACGGAGGCCCTGCTGAGGTCCTTTTGGACCCAGCCCGACAAGCCATCTGAAGCCCCAGGATCACTAATCAGGAATGCCCCTGTGAATTGAGAAGCTGAGGAACACACTCGCAGATTTTTGTGGGCTCCAGGACTCCCATCGGGTCCACTCCTTACTGGGGCCACGAGGACCTAGCTTCAAGTCTTGATGGACAAGTGCCAGGGACTGCCCCACCCTCAGCACCGACAGGCAGGGACCGGAACCCAGGTGGCTGTTGATGTGGGTGGAGACCGATTTGCCTCAGAGCACAGGTCTAAACCTTCAAAAGGATATTGAAGCCGGTTCAGTGGCTCAACGCTGTAATCCTAGCCACTCAGGAAGCAGATGAGGATCGAGGATCACAGTTCAAAGCCAGTCTAGGCAGAAATGCCCTTGAGACTCTTACCTCTGATCAAAAAAAGCCAGGTTGGATCTGTGACTCAAGTGGTTGAGAGCTGGTCAAGTACAGTATGTTGAAACTCACTTATGAACTCCAGTGCTACCCACCTTGAAGTATCAGTTGCCTGTCTAGCTTTTGATTCAGGCCTACCAGGCAAGGCCAGTCTCTCAGGAAAGCCCTTCCTTAACCCTGTCTTGGGGCCCTCCCTGTTCACTGTTCCCTCAGGCAGGTTCCTAATTAAACCAGACAATTCCTTCAGTTCTGTGCCTTGGGGCCTTTGCACCTATCTCCTAGGGCTGTATCTAGACTTTCCCAGACCCTGTACAAGCTGCTCATACTCTGGCTAGAGGAGCCAGAAGGGTACAGGCAGAGGTGACTCCAGGCAGTTCAGCTCTGGTCACCCTTTTGTCTTTGGCAACCCAGAATCTTACAAATTCCTGGTAGTCAGGATCCAGCCCTGATAAGAATTGATTTTACTGGTGGCTCCCTTTGAGCTAAGAAGCCAAGCCTAGACTTAAGAGAGGGGTGTGGACTTAGCTGGGGGCTAGGTCTGGCCTTGTACCTGCCTCATTTTTGTGAGCCTAGTGGCTAGGCCTTTAATCCTAGCTCTGAGGAGGCTGAGGCCTGAGGTGTCCGTCCACCTTGAGTTTCTGCAACCTCACTGTATTACGGTTTTTGTTTGTTTGTTTTTTGGTCAGTTGTGGGGCTTGAACTCTGGGCCCAGGTGCTGTCCCTCAGCTCTTCAACTCAAGGCTGGCCCTCTACCACTTGAGTCACAGCACCACTTTCAGTTTTCTCGTGGTTTATTGGAGACAAGAGTCTGACAGACTTTACTGTGTTGGCTGGCTTTGAATCCTAATCCTCAGATCTCAGCCTCCTGAGTAGATAGGATTACATGTGTGAGCCACTGATGCCCAGCATTTTTTTTTTAAATATAAATAGTGATCCCTCAACTATCTTGGGAGCTATGTAACAGAGACCCCCCCATGATAGGTGAAAAATCTGTGAAGGAGCAGCATTAGATAGTTGTCCATATCCAAGTTCACTTGCTGCTACTTTGTGGATTTTCTCCTATCATGGGTGAAAGATTCTTACACTTTGCCTGAGAACCACGCAGACATCCAGGTACAGAGAACAAAGAAGGGTTTATTGCTTCGAAAGGGGACAGGAAGACTCCTTCTCACAAGGGAGAAGTGAGAAGAAGCACTGGCTATTGTCTGAGGTGACTTATATAATAACCTAGGGGGTTAAGGATGGGCTAAAAGGGGCTAGGAGGCAGAGACCCTGTGTGTGGACCTGTGGCTTCATCGTGGCAGACTAGGATTTATGGCTACTATCCAAATAGTAGATAAGGGGTCCTGCAGCTGCCCAGACCTGAAGGTCACTCTAAGGGGCTCTTGTTGCCTTATATGGTGGTAGCTGCCCCAGAGAAGTGCCATCCCAAGGTGAAAAGGGGTTGGAAGTTGATTATTTACTGCCTTTCCTACTTGGGCCTAGTGTTGCCTAGGAAGGAGCATGCTAAGCTGTGGAGAAGGGAAGGAGTGGGAAGGGAGCTCATTTCACTAACAATGGGGGTCTCTGGGATGTAGTCCCCATGATAGGTGAGGGATCACTGTAGTGAGACCCTGTCTCAAAAAAACAAGTCAAAAGTGTTAGATCCTTGATAGTTTCTTATTGCTGGCATACATGACAAAATCCCATATAGTAGTTCAAAATACCACAAATGGATCCTTTCTCCGAGTTAGACCCAGCTCTGTGTGAAGTGAGGAAACTGGGTCTAAATAATGTCAAAGCCATCCTGACCACCTTTCCTTCCAGGCTACTGTGTGGCCCTTTCTGCCTAGTCCCATGCCTGGGGTTCGCCCCAGTCTCTGTCTTCATACAACCTTCCTGTTTTTTTCTTTCTCTTATAAGACACTGATCGGCCTGGGAAGGTGGCTTAGAGATAAAGTGCTTGCCTAGCATGCATGAAGCCCTGGGTTTGATTCCTCACTACACATAAACAGAAAAAGCCAGAAGTGGTGCTATGGCTCAAGTGGTAGAGTGCTAGCCTTGAGCAAATGCATCTCAGAGACAATGCCCAGTCCCTGAGTTCAAACCCAGGACTGGTTAAAAAAAAAAATCATTAGTTGTAGATTTTGAACTACTAGGATGCTCTGGTATGACCTCAGGGCTGTTTATTACATCCATAAAGACCCTCTATTTAGGGCTGGGAAGGTGGCTCAGTGGTAGAGTGCTTGCATGCATGAAGCCCTAGGTTCGATTCCTCAGTACCTCATAAGCAGAAAAAGCCAGAAGTGGTGCTGAGGCTCAAGTGGTAGAGCACTAGCCTTGAGCTGAAGAGCTGAGGGACAGCACCCAGTCCCAGAGTTCAGGCCTCATGACTGACATAAAAAAAAGAAAGACCCTCTATTTACTTTACTATTAGACAATTGCCAGTGGCTCCTTCCTGTAGTCCTACCTACTCTGGAAGCTAAGATCTGAGGATCTTAGTTCAAAGCCAGCTAGGCAGGAGAGCTTTTGAGACTTTCCAACTACCAAAAACAAACAACAACAACAACAAAAAAAAAACACTGAAAAGTAGAGCTGTGGCTCAAGTGGAAGAGCTCCAGCCATTGGCTAACACCTGTAATCCTAGCTACTCAGAAGGCTGAGATCTGAGGATCATGGTTCAAACCTGCCCAGGAAGGAAAGATGAGTCTCAGAACTCCAGTAGGAAGTGGTACTGTGGCTAAAAGTGGTAGCAAGAAAGCTCAGGGACAGCACCAAGGCCTGAGTTCAAGCTCCATAATTGACAACAACAATAAATAGTACTTTGCAGTGCTGAGAATCAATATAGGACTTCAGATGGGCTAGAGTTGCCCTCCACCACTGAACAGCCCACAGGTCCTTACCCTAAGCCACAGTTACTTGTTCTAGGAATTGGAATGGCACAGCCTTTTTTGAGTCCACCTCTAGGCACAATCTTATCTGCAACTTGGAATGATGAGCTGTGTGACTGGGTTTGATCATTGCATCAGGGCCTAGCCAAGAGACATCCCCTCCCCCTCACACACACACTCAGGTCACCTAAGGCTAGGGGTCTTCCTGGACCAGGCTTGGTCCTGTAAGAACCAGGATCCCTAAACTGGCCTTTAGCTGAGGCTGCCTGAGGCAGGTGGCCCCTGATTTATTCAGTGAGTCCAGGGGCCTTCCTTTGTCTCTGCCTGTCTTGCACGTAGCTCACCACCTGCTTTCCTTCATTAATGATTTAAAACGAGCCAAGGACAGGTTCACCTGGCCTTTGTGTGAGAGACACTTGTTACCTTAGCTCAGTGATCCTCCACTGTGGCCGGGAGAGGGGGGAGCAGGGCAG